AGAAGGAGTTTCTGATCTAAAAACAGAAGTTTTCACACATTCCAGGTGTCAAAGTCAGAAAAGTGACTCACGTCTGTCGCAGTTTCCACAAACGTTGCAGTTGAACTCCATGTTGTAGGACTCCATGAAGCGGTCTCCCTGGCAGGGGACACACTCTCTTTCACAGGAGGTCCGCGAGGAGCTTCCCTGCATGATGTGACCTACGACACAGTAACAGTTAGAGCTGCTGCTGCTGCTCCGGGAGCCTGAGAGTCAGCTGAACAGTCACTGACCTGGTGGACATTTATCACAGCACATATTGGGCCCGTCTACCGGCCAAGGGTACTGAACATCAGTGCAGTTCGGAGGAAGTCCAGAGCCCAGAGACACGCTGGCCAGCCAGGACAGGATGAAGAAGGAGAACATCTGGAGGAGGAACAAGGCCGGATGTGTTCATAGCAGGCTGACAGACACCGAAGGAAACAACAAGCAGCTCAGAAATTACAAAGTGGAAACCTGAGTCTACTCACGGTGAGGAGAAGCTTCTTCGATCTGTCGCTGCGACCCTCCGAGCGTCAGACTGAACACTGTGTCAGGGGCTTGCTGAGGAAATGTCACAGATGACTCATAGCGAGAGTTGAATAATTTCTGATGTGTTCGTTATCTTGGTTCTCTCATCCTGCTCTGTGATCTCTGCTGCGACCCTTCAGCTCTGCACAACAACAAGCCTCCAGCAGCCTCCAGTGGCCTCCAGTGGCCTCCAGCGGCCTCCAGCAGCCTCCAGCAGCCTCCAGCGGCCTCCAGCAGCCTCCAGCAGCCTCCAGTGGCCTCCACAGGTCCATCCCAGTTCATCTAAAACAGAACTTCTCTGATGCTGTCTGTCTCTCTGCCTTAGTTTGTCTCTTCCTGTTGTTCTCGTTGCTGCTGCTGCTGATGAAGATGATGATGATGATGATGATGATGATGATGATGATGATGATGACGAGGTAGTTTCAGGTTAAACTTCATCCTCCACTCATTTAGCTCCAAACTGTCCAATTCTGACAGAAAGCTGTTGAGGAGATAAACTTTATTCCAGGAAATGAGTCTGATGAGCAGCTCTGCAACTTCCAGTATGATTATTTCACCAGATGCTCAGAAAGCATCAGACAGAAGCTCAAAGTGTAAAAACTCAAACACCAATAATAGTCTCTGGCTTTCCCATCCGCTCACAGATGTGATGTGTTGTATTTGTTTTAAGGTCATTTGAAATCAGATTACAGGTCCAGAGGAGAGCACAGTGCTGCTGCCTCAGAGAGTTTCAGGGAACTTCAGTGGCTCTAAGGTTTGTAGGCGTGAGAACTTTTCTGGTTAATTAGCGACGACCAGCTCATTTGCATGTGTGAGCAGATGTTTCCCAAACACTGGATCCTGTCACTGCTGACCGTCAGCGCTGCTTCTTTTTTTAGTTCTACTGGTATCAGCTTCAGATCCACATAATATATAAAACATGATCAGAAAGTAAAACTAGAAAACTTTCAGAATATTTCTTTGAACCAGATGCTGATCAAATACAAACAAACTCGGTGCCGTGTTAGAGAAGAAGGTTGTAGCTGCACAGTGTGTGACAAACAGTTCAAACATGGTTTAGAGTCGGTCCTGGACGCTTTGGGAACATCGTTCACCTCATTTGAATGCAAATATAAGATATAAGACAGTGAAAGTTGAACTCACTCGTCTACATTTTGTTCACTTCTGTTCATAGATTCTTAACTGTGCCTCTAACTTTAATATTAATTTATACTCTTCTATATTTATTATTATTTTCCAAACACTGTGAGCCAGTGTGATGACATTTCATTCAGTGTAACCTGCGTATCTTGAATGACAGTAAGGTTGTCTAAGGCCAGGACAGCAGAGAGCTGAGTAACTGCTGATTGACTGCAGCGTCATGCAGCTTTCCGCGGTTTTCTCAGAACCCAGACCACAACATGTGACCTGCTGCTCTGTGAACAGGGTCTTCCAGGGGGCTGCCTCAGAGCCTCTCCACGGCGGCAACACTCAGACAGAAAACCGAGATGACTGGGCGAAAGAACACGAGCAGCAGAATCGGTCTGAAGTCACCGAGAACAGAAGTGCTGATGCTGATGTGGAGGTCTGACTGCATCGCTTGGACGATCAGAGCGTTTGAACAGACGCTCAGAGGGACGTTTGGCAGGAACAGGTCGACATCTGTGTAGTGAACCAAACACTTTTGACTCGACCTGAAACCCAGAGCGTACATGCAGAGTCAGAGCTGATCGGCCAGCTGACTGTGCTGCTGTTTCATGAGCACGTGTGGAAAGATTTACTGAAGGAGGCTCAAGTCAAATGTGCTGCTGCTGATGTATGTGTGTGTGTTTGATTTACAGTTTCGATAAAGATATTCACCTCCCTGGAACATTTCCCCTTTTACTACTTTAAGTCCTGTTTTGATATAAATAATACTAAAAACACAAACGTCTCCCTCTCACTCACACCAGAACTGTCACGAGTCTCTAAAAACCGAGGAGACACATACAGTACACAGCGTAGCCTGCATACATACAAACATGAAGCACCATGCATCATGATGCATGCATCATGACATGAAGCACGGTGGTGGCAGCATCATGACATGAAGCACGGTGGTGGCAGCATCATGA